AAAGCCAGGCACCGGTGGCTCATGCCTGTAATCCTAGCTACTCAGGAGACTGAGATCTGAGGATAGCGGTTCAAAGCCACCTGGGCAAGGAAAGTCCAAGAGACTCTTATCTCCAATTAACTACCAGAAAACTGGAAGTAGTACTGTGGCTGAAGTGGTAGAGATCCCGCCTTGAACTGAAGATCTCAGGGAAAACGCCCAAGCCCAGAATTCAAGTCCCACAACCACCACCACCACCACCAAAACGTCTGTGGGTGTGTGTGTTTACTTTCCTGCCCAGGCTGGCTTTGAACTGCGATCCTCAGATCTCAGCCTCCTGAGTAAGATTACAGGTGTGAGGCACCAGAGCCCAGCTAACTTTATTGTTATTAAGGTATTGTACCAGAGGGTTTACTATTGCTTAAGTCAGGTAAGTACATTTCTTTTTTTTTGGACAATGTTACCCCTTCCCCCAGTTTCCTCCCTATCACTGCCTACAAGTTACATAACTCACTTTCCATACATTGTATAACAAATAGCGTGACTGCATTTATGTACTCTTCTACCCTCCCTTTCTGTGCACCCTTTTAAAGAAAAAAAAAAACCCGAAACAAAAACAAACACCACCACCATCTCTCTCTCTCTCTTTTTCTTTTTTGTTGGTCTTGGGGCTTGAACTCTGGGCCTGAGCTCTGTCCCTCAGCTCTTCAGCTCAAGGCAAGCGCTCTACCACTTGAGCTACATTGCCATTTCCGGTTTTCTAGTGGTTTATTAGAGATAAGAGTTTCACGGACTTTCCTGCCCGGGCTGGCTTTGAACTGAGATCCTTAGATCTCAGCCTCCTGAGTGGCTAGGATTACAGGCGTGAGCCACCAGCGCCCGGCTACCATCTCTTTTTTTGACAGGGTTTTGCTAATCACCCAGCACTCAGGCTGGCCTGTAATTTGCTTTGCATCACAGGCAGGGTCTGAACTGCATGGCATCACATAACAGGGAAAGCTTCCTGAGGCCAAGGGACAGCAGACAGCAGTCCTCCAGTGGGAGCCCTCCTGTTAAGCAAGAAAGAGACAGCTGCTCTCAGACATGCAGACTCCAGAGCATCAGCCAGGCCTGTCCAAGGACTCCAGGGATAAGAGCAGATAACAGACCACAGACACTGACTTCCTCCCTCTCTACCACTGGTATGGCCCCTCTAAGAAACTGTACTCAATTACAGATGGAGACCATGTTCTGGCCCTTGATGCCATCATGCCAGGTTTCTCACTGTGAGGAACTAAAAATATGAAAAGATGAAGTGATTTTATGTTAGTATTAGAAAATGAAAGATGAAAAAAATGCTTCCTATCAAAAGATTTTGAGTACTTATAAGCCAACAAGAAAAACAACAAAACAACACCCTAAGAGAAATGGACATGGATATGAAGAGGTACTTCATATAAATAGGCTGTGTGCTTCAGTTATGTGACTGCTATGAATATAAAGAACATCAGACACTTGTATTCTGGCTTCAAGGACTCTAAGGATCATGCTATCTGCAGGAATTACTAAGAAAAAAATGCCTGATGCTGATTGTGGCTCCATTTCATCTGACTATACCTTTTTTTAAAAAATCGATTTCTACTTTCCAATTTAAAAGTTTGAATCCTTATACTGTGAACCAAGATAAGAGGTGAAACACAAGAACAGAAAAACTCACTAGGGATGTATTCATTTTCTGCTGCTCTTGTACAAATCTGGAAAACTACAGAAGCAGGGGCAGACCTGGAGAAGAGAAATGAAAGTATTGTTACTATGACAAACCAAGCAGGAATCTCAAGAACATACCCAGAAAGTTTCAAGACAGAAACCTTATGGGACAGTCACTTCAGGTGCTCAGGAGGACTTGGGGAATGATCAGGAATCTTTCTAACCCATACAGTTACTAGAGAAAAGTACAATTCTCACTGTGAATGAAGATAGTCTACCACTGTTAAGTGTAAGAAAGGAATTCTTTTTTTTTTTTT